TATTATATGGGACTTATGCATTTGTAAAAGGAAACAATAATAGCAAGAAAGTTGGAAGAGGAAAAATGGAAGTGTAATTTTTGAGATTCATGTACTATATGGAAAATGGTAATAATATCATTTGAAATTACACTGGAAACTAAAGATGCATACTATAAATCCTAAAATAAAATGGAAAGTTATAATTAACAAGCCAGTTAGATACATAAACATTAAAAATATAAAAGTTTTCAATTAATCCTAAAGTAGGTATATAACAGATGAAAAGGAACAAGAATCAATAGGAAAATAGAAAATAATAGCAGAAAAATGTATTTAATAATACCAGGAAGCACATTAAATTTAAATGATCTAATTACCCCAATTAAAAAGCAAGATTATCAAATTAAAAAAAAAAAGACCCAAATATGCTGTCACCTAGAAACACACTGAAATAGGTACAGGGAAAAAAAATAAAAACTGGTTAAAAGTAAAATAGAAAAAATGATACACCATACTAAAATTAATCTAAAGAAATCTGGAGTGTCTATAGTAATAGAAAAAACTAATTTTAAGCAAAGAATATTAATAAGCCATTTTGCAATAATAATTTTATCAAAATCAATAGATAGATACATATGCACTTAATGGTGGTGCTTCAAGGCACATAAAGCAAAATCTGGTAGAACTGAAAGAAAAGGTAGAATTATAATTACCACAAGAGATCTCAACATCTCTTCCTCAACATTTGATAGAACAAGTAGAGAAGAATTTAGTATAGAAGATTTGAACAATATATCATACAACTTCACTTAATTGATATTCATAGAAGATGTCACTTAGCAATATAATACATCCTCTTTTCAGGTCCATATAAAACAATGACCACCATAAACTATATTCAAAAGATAAACCAACTCTCAAAAAATTTAAAAAGGTTTTTCTATAAAGTATGCTCTCTGAGCACACTGGAATTATAAATCAAAAAAAAAATTTCTGGAAAATTCCCAAATATTTGGAAAACAAAAAACAAAAATAATGAGTTAAAGAGGAAAAAAAGGGAAAACAAATTATTTGAAACTGAATGAAAATGAAAACATACCAAAATTTGTGAGGTATTGTTAAAACAGTAGTTAAGAAAAATTTTATAGACCCAAAGGCCTATATTAGAAAAAAGGAAAGCTCCTAAATCAATGACCTCCACTTCCACCTTGAGAAACTAGAAATATAATAATAGACTAAACTCCAAATAAGTAGAAGTAAGTAGGAAAGATGAGAGCAGTAATCACTGAGATATCCAATAGAAATAGTAGTAAAACTCAAAAAGCTCATTCTTCTAGATATCAAAGCATCTGATGAAACTTTTAGCTAAACTGATCAGAAAACAAAGACAAAATTAACAATGTCAGAAATAGGAATGACAGACATCACAGCATGTCCAAAGAATGTTAAAATTAGAATTATAGGGATATTAGGAAAACTTTGACTATAACATTGACAACTTAGATAAAATGAACAAATTCCCTGAAAAACACAAACTGCCAAAACTCAAGGGGGTGGGGGAGGGTGGGGGGTGGGGGGGCTTGAATGGCCATCTTTTTTTAAAGAGTTTGAATTTCTAGTTGAAGTCCTCTCCACAAAGAAAAACCCAAACCCAAGTAGCTTTAACAGTGGCTTCTTCCAAACAAGTAAGGCAGAAATAAAACACATTCTACACAAACTCTTCCAGAAAGCTGAAAGGACAGAATATTTTCAAACTCAGTCTGTGAGGCCAGGTTTCCAGTATTATTCTGATTCTAGCACCAGGAATAAATTTTTTAAAAAATGACTTTACAAGGAAAAAAAATAACTTCAGGCCATTGTCTTTGTAAATAGATACAAATTTTCAAAACAAAAATTTAGCAGAATTAACTATATTCAAAGGAATATTATGATCAATGACAATATAAAAAAGAGAGAACAGTAAATCAATATAATTAGAAAAACCAACCCATTTACTTCACAATATCAACAAATTAGAAAAGAAAAACTTTAGGAGAGATAACTACTAACCGGAATGTCTAAAATTAAAGACTGACCACATCTAATGTTGGTAAGGATATAGAACTGTATCTCTTTATGTGGAAATGTAAAATGTTACATTTTGGAAAATAGTTAAACTGTTTGACAGTTTCTTACAAAAATTAATGTGTATCTTTTCATATTATCTTGGGTATTTACTCAAGAGGAATGTGAAGTATATCAGTACAAAGACATGTTCATAGCTCTTACAGCCAAAAACTGGACCCAAGTCAGAATTCCATCAACAGCTCAACAAACTACGATATATCTAGTCAATGGAACACTATTCAGCAACAAAAAGAAATGAACTACTGATATTCACTATAACATAGATGAATTTCAAAATAATTAATCTGAATAAAATAAGCCAGACAAAAAAGAATATATACATAATATATGATCCTGTTCATGTAAAATCTAGAAAATGCAAACTATTTAACAATGACAGAAAATAGATTAGTGATTGCTTGGAAACTGAGGGAGAGGCATTGAGGAATGGGCAGGAAGGGACAGAAGACATGATTATAAAGGGGCACAAAGAAAATCAGGGGTGATGAATATATTATGATGAAGACTTGGATGAACACATATCTCAAAAGTAATCAAAAATGTTTTTCAAAAATTATCTTCAAACTTTGAATGAATACAAGCAAAGTTTGCTGGAGTAGGTTAATTACTGTTGTTCTCTATTGTGCATTTGTTTCCTCATTGATTCTACAATCATTTAGCATGGGGTGTGCCAGTTCCTATCTCTAGCAGGTCTCCGGGCTGTATTTGAACTCATTTGTGTGATTAGGCTGGAGAAGTTCATGATAATGTCTAGTATCATTTAAAACAAATTAATTTCCCATTTCATTTATCTGGTCATAATTCTCAGTCTGGGACTTATTACAAATGACCTTATGAAGAGTCACAAACAAATATAAGAAAATCAGGCGATTGTCCTCAAACTAAGAATCCTGTTCTCCAACAGATACACTTCTGTGATTATCAGCTTTCCTTTTTTTTAATCTTTGCCTTTGTAAGTCTCATTTTCATAATTTAACTCAGATGATATTGGTAAATTACAGTACTTTGCCCCAAGGCAATAAAGGAACTTCTGTATATTCTATTATAAAATTAGCTAATTAATAATTTCTCTATTGCCACTAAGCAGAACTACATGGTTAAATTATGATGATGGGGTCTCATTGCATGCATGTTATGAAACAGCAATTCATCATTTAATGTCAGGCATATGTGTGAGCGAGAGAAAATGAGCTAGAACACTAACCAAGAGAATGAAAAGCATCTAATTCTGATTCTCTTTTCCAAGGATGAAATAAAATTTGTGAATTCAAGCAAAGTAAGTTGTGGCTGTGTGGGGAAGAGAGGTGGGTAAGAAAGAGGAGGGGAGAGAGAGAGAAAGAAAGAAAAAGAGAGACTGAGAATCTTAGAATGGCAAGAAGAGAAAGGAATGTTAGAGGCATTCAAAGAGAGACTAGATGTACTATTGAATCTAATTAAAGGTATCATGCTGAAGTGATTGATATTAAACAACTACATAATTCCCAGCTTAGTTCTAGGAATGGCAGTCATATATGCTAGACCTGCAGAGATAAGCATCTTCCCATCCTGCCCTGCTCAGAGTCCTGAATTATTATCTGTTTGTGCTTGATTTCTGGTGCTTATATTATCATATTAATATAAATGCCATAGTCTCCCAGGGAAGCTGTTGTTTCACTAACAGGCTCAATGTATGAGTCTAAATGTTACTTTAAACAACTCCCATTTTATGTGAAACATTATGCACCAATTCTATGACTATTAGATATGGAAAATTTGCTTTTGTGCCTTTTTAAAATATCATATGAACTAATAAGTTCCCCTTAGTGTAATCTTTCAGCAAAGTCTAGAGTAAATGCAATATCATCTCAATCAGTCACCTACTTTAACTTCCCACTAAAATGATGTCTCTATAGTCTACTCTGATTGTTTCAATCAAAGCAAAATGAATAAACTTAATAAACAATATTTAAATATTCCCCATAGTTTCCACCAACAACTTTGATAGCCCAATTTATTTAAGCCTTGAAGAAATACATGTGATCCTTGCCCTCTATGTGTTTAGCATACATTACAGTTCATTATCATAGCAACCCTCAACAAAGTGATTTATTTTAGAAAAGAAGGCTTCAACCCTTGCAGGGAAAAAGTAGGGACCAGTAAATCTATTAATCATCTTATATTAAATGATTTGAAGTTCAGTTCATTGCAAACAATACACACATCATATAGTCAGATATCAGAATGCATTTTTTCAAATGTCATAGAAAATCCAAGCTTAAAAAACATTTACAAAGCCAAAATTAGTTACTTCAAAAGAATGTTGAATAAAAACCAGGACAAAAGTGTTCTAATGACTGCAAATAAGGATAACTGTACTTTGTCTAGCTTTTTCTGGATTGAAATGGGCAATCTGCTTAAATATACTTCCCTGTTTTCACCTCACTTGGCCTCAGCAAAGTGGCAAGGCAGGGGATGAGCAGAAACCAGGAGGGAAGCTTTGATTAGTCAGTATGGTCTCAGGTTATAAGGTTTGTCTGGTGTCCAGTGTATTTCACATAATCAACTGATCACTTGTTCCCAACTCTATTTCAAATAGGCCATAGATATCTATGATTAGCTCAGTTTCATAACTAAGAACATTAAGAAAAATGAACAAGCAAATCACGTTTCTAGTGCAAAAGAAAAAAAAAAGGTATAGCTTTAGAATCAGGTAGCTGATTCAACTGGGGTATATTATTACTTTCATAGAATTTAGTATTCTCAAAAAAAAGAAAGTCCTTAAAACTCTAAGACTACTTTCATAGTATCAGAAGAGGCTTTAGAATTTGGTAGAGCTGGAGAAGACATTTAGTCCAAAAAAAAAAAAAAAAAAGGTGAGTAAAAACTTTAAATTGGTCAATATATGTCAGAAATACAAGCTGGAGAAATATTTTTAAAATATATTTGAGATATTAATTTTCCTTTGTCTTTACCCAGGTAATGGTACCTTTCTTAGAGTTTATCTCAAACAATACTGTTATCTTTTTATGTTACATGAAGAAAGTGAAAGTAAAAAGTTTATCAGATTTCTTGTGAAACTAAGAATAATTTCTAGGCCTATGAATAATTTGGGGCACTCTCACATACACAATTTTTATGGCCAATTAATCTGAGCACATTCTGAAAGATTCTGAACTACAATGAAATCATTCTCTATTCTCTAATGATTTTCTATTTTCTAAAAAAAAAATAATGTTTGCAAATTCTTTAGGGAGTCATTTCCTTAGAAGATATGTCAGAAATTTAGGGGTGAATTGCTAGATGCACCATTTTTTCTAGATACAGAGTTTACTACTCACCTCCACTCAACAAGAAATGCTAATTTACTTTCTCCATTACCCTCCTCCTCCTTTTACTGTCTTATTATTCCTCTTTTTCTTTTTCCTGAACTAAATCCATTGAGTCACATCATATGGTATTTACTACTCGTATTCACAAACATCAAAAGGATGGCAATCTGTTTAATATCCTGCAGATGAACATGCACTAAAAAGTGGCACTGGCAATTGGGCACTTGCTGCCCACTGGGCACCAAGCAGCGATGTGTTAAAGAACTGGCATGTTGTTCCATAGAGAAGAATGACATTCATTATAGTTGTATAAAAAAATTATGTACCAAATGTTTGCCTCGATGAGTATTTGGACTGTCTTTTATCTCTCTTTCATTCATCCCTTCACAGCCTCTACCCTTCAACTCTAATCTGTCCAAGACTTTTCTTCTTGTATGTATGGTCTTGTCTTGTTTGTTTCTGTGACTTCCTTACAGTTTCCCTTCTAATATCAGTCGAGTGCATTATGGAAATCATGTAGTGCCTACAAATAAAATAGACATGAATAAAGTGTGCATAAACTTTTACAAAATATTTCCTATAGCATTTGATGGCGTCTTGTTTTTACAATGCAATTAATAACTGTCATTGGAGGACTGGAGGAATTCACTTTTTATTTTCCAACTGTTATATTAAGATAACTTAAGATTTGGGCGGACAAGAATTTTAACTAGACATTAGAAATCATATACCAAGTTCCTTACCTTAAAGATTTAGAATCTGGGCCACAGAGAAGGGTATGGTCTAAGTTCTCAGGCCTTGGATGTATTTCAGTAACCAGAGCTGTTCAGAAAGAGTAGGGCGTTATCAAAAGCGACTGGTTCTCAGGCTGGGGTTATGGCTCAGCGGTAGAGCACTCGTCTTGTAGGCATGGGACCCTGGGTTTGATCCTCTGCACCACATAAAAAATAAATGAGTGAAATAAAGGTATTGTGTCCAACTACAACTATAAAATAAATATTAAAAAACAAAACAAACAAAAAAAGCTACTGGTTCTCTCAAAGCCCTTCCAGTTATTCTTACGGATATCTTCTTCGTCTAAATGTTCCTCATCTGCAGTGTCTGAGGAGTCTATCCTTCTTATGTTGCCAGGCACTTTCTTAATAACTGTAGATCTGGGTGGCAAAGGCAACAATCTGAGCGTCCAGGGAGCTAGTGTCCTCAGGGTCTGCCAAGCCCTTATTCATCAGCTGCTCATGAATGATTTTCGGCTGTTTTCCTTTTGTCTTCTCCAAGGAAGTTTATTCCTGAAATTTCAGCCCTCTGTGTTTCAGAGATGCTCTGGTGTTCCTGGGGAGGAAGGAAAAGAAATGTCATCCTCCTGGCTTGGCATCTGGGAGATCGGACTATTGCTAGAGCAAAATCCACTGAACTCAATGTGCTGCCTTAGAGGAGGGACACGAAGCAGGCTTGCGACATTGTGGCCTGCTAAGGGGCTCACAGTGTACCCCTGCTACCAACAAGGTCCTCATGGTTCTACTCTGCAAACAGAAATCTAATCATTTATTTACTGCTTTAAAGCTTGTGCTGATCTCACCATTTCCCAAAATAGGCTAATTAGTGTGGCATTTAGATCAGTTATATAGTCAGCCTTCCACCTCTCCTATATTCACTTTATGAACCATCACAATCAACCATCCAATCTCCTCCACACATCCCAGCAATCCTGGACCTCTAATAACTCCTGAATGCCACGTATTAAGATAGAAGAAAAACTGGATGAATCTCTGGTTTCTGTCCTTTTAAAAATGAATCTCAGAAGAGAATTTAAAGAAAAATAAAAAACTGCCATAGACCACTGTGGATTTAATCATGTGTATTATAAGCATAGCCCTATAGGCTAGGGCATTTTTGTCAACCTGGATGATAGTCTTATTTTGTCCTTTGTGTGATTAAGAAAATTAATGACTGAAAAAAAAGTGGAAGGAAGAACTCATATAATTAACTTACTTCTAGGCTGTAAAAACACATTTATTTTGAAAGTCTTACATTGGATTTGGCTATCACCAAACCACATTTACATATTTATTTATTAACCATACAGTATTATTCCAATATTGCAACATTATGGCCAAATATCTTAGAAACAACATAAAGCCACAGGCAACAAAAGAAATAAACAGATCAACTGTACTTTATAAAAATTAAAAACTTTTGGTGCATCAAAGTCACTGTCAAGAGGGTGAAAAAGCCATGTACAAAATGGGATTAAAATGTTTACAAGTAATGTATCTGATAAGGGATGAATATCCAGAATTTTTTAAAAATCTTACCACTCAGTAACAAAAGCAAAACAAAACAAAACAAAATAAAACAAAATTATAAAATGAGCTAAGGACTTTAGTAGACATTTCTCTGAAGAAGATATTCAAATGGCCAATAAGCACATGAAAAGATGCTCAACAACACAATCCATTAGGCAAATGAAAAGATATCATTAAAATTACTATTTTAAAACACAGAACAAATACACAAGGAAAACAGAAAATAAGTGTTGGTGAGACTGTGGAAAAATTGAAGGCCTTGTATACTTGTGGGAAAATAAAATGGTGTCACTGCTATAGAAGAGTATAGTAATTTCTCAAAAATTAAACACAGAATTAATATATGAGCCATAAATCCTACTTCTAGCCACACCCCCCAAAAAATTGTAATCATGGGCTTAGGTACATATATACCAATGTTGATCAAAGCATTGTTCACAATAACCAAAGGCAATAGCAAACCCAATTTGGATACACAAAGTGTGGTATTTACATGCAATGGAATATTCTTCAGTCTCAAAAAGGGATGGAATTCTGGTACATGCTATGATTTGGTTATGAGGTATCCCCCAAAAGTTTCTGTGTTAATGTAGAAATATTCAGAGGTAAATGATAAGAATATGAGAGCCTTAACCTACTTAGTCCATCTGAGTTTGAATGGACTGAATGGTGACTGTAGTCACCTTGGGCATGCCTGAAGGGGGTGTGTCACTGGGGGTAGGTCTTAGAAGGGTTCTTCTTCTTGCAACCCCTTCCCCCTTCCTCTGTTTCTCAGGTGCCATGAGTGGAACAGCACTCCTTTATCACACCCTTCCCTCTATAATGTTCTGCCCCACCTTGGGCCCAAGATCAATAGAGTTGGCCAACTATGGACTGAAATCATGAGCCTAAAATAAACTTTTTCTCCTCTACATTGATTTTGTTAGGTATTTTGGTCACATCAAGGTAAAAAGCTGACCAACACATGCTACATCCTAGGTGAGCCTTGAAAACAATTGCTAAGTGGAATCAGTCATACACAAAAGGATGGATATTCTGTGATTCTACTTACAGGAGGTGCTTAGAACAGTTGCACTGATAACAGAAAGTAAGACACTACTATCAGGGATAGGGAAAGGAAGCAACGGGGAGTTATTATTTAATGGTTATGGAGTTTCAGTTTAGGATGATGAAAAGTTCCAGAGAAGGGTAATAATGATGGTTGCACAATAACGTGAATGTACTAAATGCCTCTTAATTGTTCAATTTAAAATGGTTACAATGGTATATTTTATGTTATACATGTGTAACCACAGTACAAAAAAGTTTTTAGTTTTCTTTAATTATTAACTACTGAGAGCTGGTATAAGTAATATCCAATACCACACCGTAGATTGCAACTGTCATGTCACATAGAATTTAGAAGTGACCTCCAAATCTATATATTCCTTCTAGTTATTGTTGTTCTTATAAAAATGTCCTAAAACCCCAAATAATAGGGATCAGAGCATTTCATATATGGCTAAAAATGACAAATAAAATAAGTATATAAATAAGTAAAATGTTTCCTATTAAAAATCTGCAACCCTAAAATCTTGCAAACCCAGTAATCTAAAGTCAAATTGTTTCCCCATTCCCATGTTGCATCAGCATACTCATTTAATTTCATTGAAATGAAAGGATATCCAATTATGAACAATCAGAGAACAAAGAAAGAAATTGATCCATGGCAAGATTCTTATTAGAATACCCCCAAAAGAAGTCTTAACACATAGAGGTTATCTTGCTAATTCAGTTATTCTTGCCCTCCTCTCTAGGAAAACTTATGCTAAAAATGAAGAACTTGCATTTTGTGTGCTGAAATATACTCTCAAAAAATAATTTGTTTGTCTTTAAATGTGATATATTGTATATAAAGCAATAGTTCCAAATTTCAGTATTCTTTGCATAATAAGCCTAAAATCATATGCATTTTGGTTTCCAAAATTTTTAGGAACTTAAAGAAATTTTTTTCACCACAGAGAGAGCTTTAGGCCCTTCTCCCTGTCCCTGGTTTGTTCCCTTTGTTATATCTCCTAGGGAAAAAAAAGAAAAAAACGGGCATGACCCCAAGAGTGGCTCTGGAATTGTTGCTCTGTAAAGATATCCATCTGTTCCTTTCATTGTCTTTCCAGTCATATCTGACTGGGTTTGGGACATCCAAACACATTTATGTGATTGTCAATACCACAGAGCCAAGAACTCTTTGGACAAGTAAACTGCATTACAAGCAATTGCTTTATGTGTACTCAAAAGAATTGCTCTTGCCTGGATCCAGAACCTTTATTGCTAGAGAGAATGTGGAAAAGTGAGCAGGAAAAAGTACATTTGCTATTAGATCTGCTACCAAAATGGTACTATTTTTTTTTAAGTTGTAGATAGACACAATACTTTTATTTCACTTATTATTTTTATGTGGTGCTAAGGATCAAACCCAGTGCCTCACACATGCTAGGCAAGTGCTCTGCTGAGCCACAACCCCCGTCCCCAACATGGTTATTTTAAAGATGAATACAAGGTAGCAGAAAACAAAACTCAACCAAATATCCAACTCATGTGGCATTTTAAACTTTCCTGATATGCTGGTATTTTAGAAAACATTATTTTTGTTAATGCTTTCCATAATTTATATCTCCTATATTTTATATCTCCTATATTTTACTTGATATAATTGAAGAAAAAATATAACATATGAACTATATGAAAAATTGTAGTTACTTTTTATTCTTCCCTAGTGGGTGATCAGAGGATCAATTTTTAAAAAAGTAATAAAATATCTGTTGAACTGAAGGTTCTTTCTTAATGATAAGCATAGACATGAACTTTATTGGTTTAATTCCACAAGATCTTCTGGATCAATCTTGAATTATAACTTGCTTCTGAGTTGAGACTTCTTAAAGCAAATATTTATAGAAGTATATTTTCCATAAGTACTTCTAGTTTCTAAAGTAGAAAACTCTACAGGTTTTTCACTAAACTCAAATGCTTATAAGACAGCAAACTTGAAATAGTGGTGTATGTCACTGGATTCATTAATCTGATTGTCATTCGCTGAGTGTCCAGTGTGTACCACATTTTGTGTCTGCTCAACATAAAAATATTTTACCGTTTAAAAATGTACAATTCATGGCATAAGCAAGCAAATATAAAAATGTTATGGCTATTTCCCCAGGCTACTGGGGATAAAATTGATGGTAAGAAAATAACCTTTTATTGGGGATAAAACAAAAGGTAAGAAAACAATAGATATTACCCCTTGAGGCCATCTCCCTTTCTCTCATCTGTGATCACTGTGGAGAAATTCCAGCCCTTCACATGGAAGTCACTGGCTTAGAGCAAAAACAAAGAGAGTGCTGTTCACAGAGAGAGTGCTGTTTGCTTTGCTCATGGTTCTTTTGACACAGTTTCACCTACATCCTTTCTTTTATGGGCAAAGTTTCCTCTATGGAAACTGGGACTAGAATGACCACAAGGTTTCTTTTCCTTTGCAGATCTAGAGAGTATTTTTACACATCCAGGCCATCCTTGTGACGAGAAAATCTGTCTCAATCTATGGGCATCTTTTAAAAATTATGGAAATCATTCTAACCTATAGCCAAATTTGAAACCTGCTTCCCTGTGATACTTCCTGTGATGATACATTCCAACCAACCAAGCCAACGTTCCATCAAGCAGAACCCCCTTTGGCTCAGGATCATTGGAAGGATTTCTGTTCCCTGGCCTCCCTGTCACCCTTTACGTGCAAGAAGACCGAGCTAAGAAGTTTGACATCAAGCATCTAGTCTACTAAAAGAGAGGACATTATTTCTATTGCTCAACAATGTCTAGTTCTAGATGGCAGCAGTCCATTACAAGTAAATGTAGAGCAATTGCTCAGTTATGTGGCCAAATTAATTCAGAGTGAACTTCTGGTTAGAGGTGGAATTCTATTACATGCAACTGAAAAGACTCCTGCTAATGGAACCTCCTTCCCAGGCTGGACCTATTCAAGTTTCCCATAA